CCTTTTTTTCCAACCCAAAATAAAAAAAAAAAAAAAAAAAAAAAAAAAAAAAAAAAAAAAAAAGATCAGCATCGGGTCAACGATTAAGAAGTTCCCTCTTAAAAGGACAAAAAAAACAAACAAAAAAAAACAAGCTGAACAAAAGCAAAGATGGAAGACTTTACATGTGGATTATTATTTGAGTTTTATCAGCACCTAATCAGAAATACGTGGAATTGAATGTTTTCAATTAAAATTTGCTTTGCTTTATTTTGTTGGTGGACTCATTTAAAGACAGACAGGATTTATCATTCTTCAGAAACAAGATATGACTGACTTTGTGTGAACACTTAAAAAAAGGGTCATATTATTATGAAGTTATCATATTGTTGTTTGTAACCATCTTAACCCAACAGGCTTCACACAAATGTATATTTCTGATTTCAAAACATTCACCCTCCTGGGATTTGTTAAGGCATATTCATGAAAAAACACAACGCTGACGGTGGCTGCTGAGGAAAATGGCTCTTACCACTGCTTTCTTGACTTTGATGTTACTGATCAGCGATGCTTTAATAACTCACAACATGGGCTCAGGTTAAGCATGAGAGCTCCGGTTTAAAACCTAATCTAAGGACCAAAAAGCAGTGCTGTTGCACTTTTGGTTTCCTGTCAGTGTCACAAAAATCAGCTGGAGAAAAACTGATGTGATGGTAAAAATCAAAAATGAAACAAAGAAACACATAAAAAAAAAACACTTATTTTTCCAGAAATGTAGATTTTTTTTGCAAAAAAATCTGCATATTTTCCCCCAACAAAACATTTTCTTCTCCTCATTTTTTATCAAATTCCAAACCAGCTGAAGGAAACCGGTACCATGCAATTAAAGTGATTTTACAGCAAGCAAACATGAGTCCAGTTTGCAGATTATTATGATCAACACAACTTCCTCTAAAGATGCTGCGACACTCTGGAGTTAAGAGCCGAGTGACTGCAGCAACACTCGGGCACGGAGAGAGAGAAAACAAACACAGATTTATTTTCCTGCTATGGCCTTCTATTAATATCCAGTAATGCTGTGAGAACACATTGACCTCAGAATTGCTGGCCCTCGCCCGTGAGGTCACTTCCTGCTCCTGGATCTATCCATCCAGCTCCAATCAAAACAAACATGAGGCAGCCGAAGAAGCACCAGTGAAAAATACTGGGAGCAGCTGAGATGACTGGCAACAAAAACAGCTAAAAGTTACTCACCGGGGGCTGCAGTCCGCTGTCTTCTCTGTCCAGACTCCCTCTAGAGCTCCTTGTATCTGGTTTCTAAAACAGACACAAGTCGTCAATGACTTTACGGCTCCTTTTATTGACAATAATCATATTTAAAGTTTCAACAAAGCAGTTTTCTAATATCACACAGCTAAATTATCCCAACAAAGCTGAATGATTGGGTTTGTTTTCTTCCCAAGGAGCAACGAGTCACATTGCTCCGCTGCTTGTGACTTGAGCTGAAAACCATTTTCATTCCTGGGGAATGCCCCGAGAGAAAAACCACATAACGGGTATTAGCTCCCGCTATTAGCTCCCGATCCTCTGCGCCGCTCAGGCTGCAGCAGCATTTAAAGGCTCAAATAAAAACCTTCAACATCCTGCTCGGAGCTACTGGATCTTAAAGTGATTCAAGATGCTCAGAATTTCAATTGCCTATAAATATTTGGGCTCAAAGACCCCCCCTCCCCCAAAATCCCCTCGCATCGGTTGTCCTTGCATACCAGTTTTCCAAGACAGGACTTGAAGACCAGCATTGCCGTGAAGTTCATTAAAAGTTTCCTGACGAATCGAAGGCGTCCTGGAGGATGGAGCCGTTTTATTTCTGTGCTTATCTTCCGATTTCACAGAATTGGTCTGAGCGTAACCATGTCTCTGTCTGTTCTAGCAGTTTTTTTTGTGCGTTTTTGATCGGATTCAGCTCCAGCTTTCTGCCTCAAGTGCACGTATAGTCGACTCTGAAACGCGGAGAGAAAGGAGGGAGAAAACCAGGAGGAGGGTGTCCGATGCCAACCAAGCTCTTCTCCCTCTCTCCACCCCTCTCACTCAACTGACAGTGTTATAAAAACCGGCCAGACTACGGCAAAAACTTTCTCATGTGCACACTCCTCTCCCCTCCCACACACACACAATCTGATGCCTCCTCAGCTTTTCAGTAATCTTGTGTGTTGTTGGTTTGCGGTTATGGGTCAAAGACAGACTGTTGACTGGGCTGTCAGTCTGTAAGCCTATCATTAAGCCAGGAATTCACACAGGCCACACCTGCCTCCAAACTCTCTCACACACAATAAAATTCTTGAGCAAAAACCCCACACAGCCACTTCCATCGCCGCTCACAGAAAAACGCATGAAACATGAAGCACTCCTCCATCCTCCATCCTGCCAGCCTCAAAAAAATAACACACAGTTGGACTCCCCCATTCAAACACAGGATGATTTGTCCAATGTTGGTGAACACAAAATGAATATAGCAAATATTTTATATAATCCTCAATAGGCCTGTCACAATAAATCAATTAATTGCATGATAAATTAAAAGAAACTCAATTTTCATTTGCTTGAATTATCGCTTTTCATTCTCTTTTTAAAAAACTGAGGAAATATATTTTTTGTTTACAGAGACCTCATAATTCATTTTTTTGTCGTTTCTGTTTTTTTTTTTTTAAATTTTGGATATTTAAAATATCTTCCAGTTCCAGTGTTTAAAAGTTCATTAGAATTTAAAGTTTATTGATTCTGAGAATGTGTTCTTGCCATTATTATGCCATTTCCGTTATATTACTTCAAAATGGTCTCAAAACAACAATATTATCGTTTATCACAATAAGTTCTTGGACAGTTTATTGTTATTGTGACAGGCTTAGACTCCTCAATTTAATTTTGTCAGTTCCATTTTTGTTTGATACTTCTCTATTAACAAGAGATCAAAGCATCTTAAATGATCAGTCTTATAGTATTATAGTTCCTATTATTTGTTGATGACGTACTACACGAGTTTTTTTCCTAACAGACTCAGTCAGGCGGATTTTTAAAAATGTTCAGTAAAAAATGCAAACTGTATTAAAGGGCCATTCGCATGTTCACTTTGTTGAAGCCATAAATCTGCATTTCCCCAAATAAGGTTAGTGTTTTTTACCTTTTACCCTGATGCTCACAGTGAAAGAGAGACTGTTTTGTCTGCTGCTGTCTGTGTTATGTGACCTGCTCTGCACTCTGTGATCTGAGAAATATGCTCAGTTTTGATCGTCTTCTGGTAAATTCTCAGTAAATTCTCAGGGCGCCTTTGAAACCGACATGATCCAACTTCTAAGAAGACGTTTGAATATATTGCTTGTTAGTAAAGAAGTTACTGAATCCAAGTGTAATGCACTGACACAGTCATAACCTTGAATAAACAAAACCATGGAAAGTGAACAAAGCAACTTAAAAAGAGAGGATGACATCTTTGAGAAATGTGGCATGCACAACATAAATAGGAATGAGCAAAAAGTACCCCCAGAAAAAATGTGATTTCAACGTGCATCATGTGGTAAACGCGCCATTTTTGCTGGAAATAAATCCCAGGAGTGAATTTGTTTTCACTTTTATGAACAAACTTCTCTTATTTAGTTCCAAGACACAAATGTAGCCACTTCAGCAACATGTTTTTTTCAATAGTGCAGAAGCAGCTGCTATCTTTGTGTAAAACTTCTTCATTTAATTACACACTTAAAGGAAGCTTATTGGCCAAAATCATAGGTTTGGTTGAGTCACAGAAGAATTTTTCAAACCGCTTCTAAATTCGTGACATTTGTTTTATACCAATAGGTTATTATCAGCGCGAATCATAGCTGGTTTTGAAACGGACTAAACATTTCTGACTTGATAATTTGATAAGAGTTTTTTTTTTTATGGTCAGGATTTAGATGTTGACAAAACTTGCGGTGGAGCCTAATGAGATCATTTCTTCTCTTCACTGACTTCATGTCTGTGAAATTGCGGCTGAAAGCGACACACCTCCCTAGATTACGAGGTTCAGTGAGTTGAGCATGAATTGTAGCTTAAGTTTGAAGGTGATGAAGATGTGGATGTTTGATCTATATTTACTGTGAATTTAATCAATAAACGTTATATTTTCGGACTAATTCAATGTCAAACAAATCGCCAGGGCTTTGAGCTGGTTTTCCGCTGTAAGCCCTCTTTAAACGAGCCGCCATTGTGTTGCGCATGTGTCACATGTTCCACTGAGTGCTGAGTGCGTTACCAGCAGCCTTTCCTCCTGCTCCAGCCACCTCTGATCCTCCTCCATCTGCTGCTGTTGTATCATCAGCTGCTCCTCCATTAACAGGCACTGCTGGCCTACACACTGCTGCATGTCTACTGCCCTGTCCTACACAAACACACACGCACACACGAATGTGGAGCAAACAGCAAGCATGCACACCCACAACGTACAAACAAAACAAAAAACAAAACAAAAAAACATGCATTTGGCCAAGAGACGACACATGAAGACAGATGGGCAGAAGATGGATGAGAAACTGAACTGAGATGATGGAGGAACTCAATAAAAGTAAAAGATGGCAGTGATGTGCTAATCTGTAGAACATACATTCGTAATCTGGAATACCAGTCTGGTTCTTTAAGCAAAGTGGCGGTCCATCAAAGTAAACAATAATTTTCTGAGCATCGGGAAAAGTTTTAAAAATAATTTACGGCGGACCAACCCAGAAGCTCTCATCTGTGTGCATGCGTAACCATAGCAGCGATGCCTCTTACCTCCATCACAGAGCCCCACAGACCCATGTCGGTCCCGTGCGGCTGAGGAAGCAGCTGTGTGTGTGAGTGCGTGTGGACGTGGTGGCGGGGGTGTGTGTGCGCGTGATGCGTGTCCACCATAGCGGCCTGTGGAGGGTACAGGGCGCTGGGCACAGAGGGCAGGGTGTGTGGGCCTGGATATGCTGCCATCTAATGCAGGAAGGAGAAAATAGAAAAGACAGATGAGAAGTTATCTTAGCTTCGGTTCAACCATATGTTGTTTACAGCAACCATGATCAAAAGGAAGGAATCTGAATACATACCTGGTAATGTCCAGGATGCTGAGGACTGGGGTAGAAACCTTCACTGGAGCGGGGACTGGGGTAGCCTGGTCTACTTGGCTAAGAGACAGAAGAAAAAAAAAACTAATTACATAAATGAAGGTAAACATAAGAATATAAGAAAACAAGGAGTTAACCCTGCATCAGGTTTTTCCTGAATTATCTACTAGAAGTTACAACATTCAGAAAATCAACACACAAACCCCCAGCAGATGTTTGTGTGGTCATGTTAGCCGTCAGTCAACACAGGGAGCACCCACAGGGCTGCAAATCCAGCAAGCTGTTAGTGAAACGCTCAAGAAAAAAAACACTGCTCCTGTTACTACGACAACCTACGACAGTCAGGTTAACGATTAAAGAAAAAAAGAATGTGCTTGTGGACTAGCTGGTCACTGTAGATGTGATTTAGATTTAGGTTAGATGTGATGCGAGTGTGTTAAGCGTGTCGCTGTTCACCAAAGACCTCTCTTTCACGCAGTCTGTTACTGACGAGGCTGAATGAGAGAATTAGTGGATTAAATAATAGTTTCGGCTCATTCCAAACATCTGCGGAGGCTTTTCAGGATTCTCGGAGAAAAGCAACTCCAAAACTTCACTTTGCGCAACTGGAGCTAACTGTCAGCTAAAAACAGAAGTGCTTGGTGAACCCACAATGTTCTAGTCTTTTCTCGGCTGGTTTGGGATGAAGCTGTTGGGTTTCTCTTCCCATAATGTCCAGGAGAGATTTCTTTAAAATACACCAAAATGTGAGCTCATGTCTAGCACAACAGTGTTGCAGCCTCTACCTTCCACAGTCTCTCATAGTAGCTTTCTCTGGACCACACCTCCGACAGCGAGACGGACACAAAGACGCACGGGGAGAGAGAAGGAGAAGGCAAAGTAAAACGAGGAGGGGAGGGAAGGAATAGGGTGGAGGGCGAGGAAAGTGGAAAAAAGTGGGTGAAAAAGAAGAAAGAAAGAGAGGAAGAAACAAAGAAGCAAGACAGGACAAAAACACTGAACACAAGATGCAAAGAGCCTTCTGAAAGTATACATACCTCTTTTTCTATTTAAACTGTAAATGTGTTTTTTTTTATTAGGATTTAATGTGATAGAGTAAGACAAAGTAGTGCACAATACTGAAGTGAGAGGAAAGTGATGCAATGTTTCTGAAACTGTCTAAAAACAATCTAAAGAATTGTGTTATATTCAACCCTCAGAAGTTTTCCGTCTCATTTGAATGCAATTGCAGTGGCGAGCGTTTCGGAACAGGCGAGACTGGATGGGAAGGGTCTACGAACAATATTCAAGTCTCGCCTCAGATTCTCACTGCAGGTGAACCTTCGCTCCGGTCTCAAGTTCAAACATGTTTTCTCCTCGAATTGTCCTGAATTTAGCTCCAGGTCAATTCATGGAGCTAAATTCATTAGTTGAATTATGATCAGATTTATGAAGCTGGTCATAAATCCTGACCAGCTTCTCTTTCCCTCCTCAAGGAGAGCGTACCCACAGCACGATGCTGCCACCACCATGCTTTTATTGTGTGGATGATGATGATGAGATCAGCATGTGCACACAGGTCAAAAAGTTCAATGTTGTTTTCATTTGACCTCTTCCGCATGTTTTCTGCGTCTCCTAAATGGCTTGTAAAAACTGCATTTTCAGATGGTGGATGGTGACAGTCCGAAATGTTCAAAGCTTGGGACGTTATTTCACCACCTTTTCTTCCACTTCGTAATTATCTGCCACTTTGCATTGGTCTGCCACATAAAGCTGGTGGGACAAAATACAACAAAGTTTTTAGAGAATGGATATTTTTAATCGCTGCTTTATACAGCTGCTCTAGTTGTGTGTTTATTAGGCTGCTAAATAAGACTAGTGGCAGTAATTTTCTGCCTGATGTTGACTGAAAAACTGATTTAGGAAACAATAACGTGAAAGAATATGAAAGATTGATTCTTTTCTATGTCCTATTGATAAATGAGTGATTAATCAGGTAATCAAGAAGATGAATATTAACACAGTAATATTCTTCAACAAACCTCTGAGGTTTTTACAATTTAGCTAGAGATTAAATTACACAGATGGACTCTGAAGGCAAAAGGTTACACTGCTTTTTATTTTGGGGTATCAGAGTAAAGACCAAAACCTGAAAATGCATCTCATTTCTCAGATTTTTATTTATAAATTTTTTAAATTAGGTTTATTTTTCTTCAAATATGTACTACTATGTGGTCTGCTGAATAAAATAACCAAAAAAGAGATTGAATTGTGTGGTTCCGGTTTAAACTGACAAGGTTCTGTAAACTAAGTGTTCACCCTCCAACAGGATCTGACTCAGTTCTGTGTCAGCATCAATCTCCAGACCACAGACAGTCTGAACCTGTATCAGACTGATTTCACAGAAGCATGAAAACAAAACAAAAAGGAGAATCAAGAGCCAGTCAAAATAAGCGCTAGGATTGACCAAGCTGTGCCACAAAACTGAAAAACTGAGCCAAGAGCCACCATTTTGAACTGCTCATGTTCCAGATGCTGCTGTTTCCTTTACAACCAGCAAGAATCTTTAGTCGTATGTCAACTGATGACCCTGTAAAACAAATCTGTCTGGGTATTTCAAGTTTGTTTACAACAACAACAAAAAAAAAAAAAAAAAAAAAAAAAAAAAAAAGGGAAAAATTTAAAAAAAAAAGGGGAAAAAAAACCCGTTTTAAAAAAAAAAAAAAAAATAAAA